GCACTTTCAAAGAGCATTACTCAAGAGATTATTTCATGTAACAAAGCACAATGTATAAACAGAGTTAATACTGCTGCTAAAAAACAGTGCAATATTTATATCCCAGGGCTTTATGTGCAGAAAAACCAAGAACACCATATCAAGGGACTATAACAGTGAATAATTTCAGTTTTTCATTTATACATAAAATGAATAGTTGGTTCTGTAATAAGAAAAATGATGCTTCTGCTCCAAGCTATTCAGCACAGCAAAGCTTAAGAAAAATACCACARCATACTACTGGGCACTGCTTGTGTTGACTATTCTTTCATCCCAATTGAGACTGAACATTTTTCTAGGAATATCATTTTTCTAGGAATATCTTTATAGCTACATTCTTCTAGACCTTAATACAAACTTAAGACTGACCTTCCTTGTTGGGAACACCTTAGAACGACCTTTATTGTGGACACGTTAGTSCTGACATCTGTCATAGCACCCTGTTATCATTGTAAAAGTACATCAGTTTGATACGGGGTTATTTCCAGTCTGCCTTTAAGCCACAGGCTTGAGTTGGAAGCCAAGTCCATCACCCCTCCCCACCTAGTGATGCGAGACAGCAGTATTAACATTAACTTTGTTTAATACTGAGGTAGGGAGCGTACATACAAGGCCACATGGAGGTCTGCACAACATAATTTAGTGCAGGGCAATGCTAATACAGCTAATGTAATCCAGACTTTTTAGTTAACATTGTCTCTAGTATTGGGAGTACAGTAGGCAGCAATTCAGATGAGACAAAACACAAGCTACGCAGTTGAAGTGCCAAAACTGATCTCAAAGTTTAATAAGCACTGAGCTGAAAGCTTGCAGGGTTTAAACACTGTCACTCCTCTTGTTCTTACTAWTACTTTCCGAGAGTAGAGTCTCTCCTTGTTAATAAAGGAATATTTCTCCTCCCCCCTCCCCAGCCCTTGAGTGCACATGGAGAAGATGGAGACAACCCACCGCTGGTCTAAGGTTGCAGATCCAAACCCTGCAATCCCTTACCTCTAGCCATCAGGAGAGGACATTTGTTCCAATGAATGGTTGCTAGTGTTACTATCCTACAACCTTTATCTTAAYGTTAAAAAGCTGTACTCCAGCCTCACTTTAACTCAGACGGATTTAGTAGCGTTGCTCAGTTTGAATGAACTAACTTATAACAAAAAGTTACAACAAGAAACATGATAGAGAAAAGAAAATATGACAATATAGTAAAATAGTAAAAAGTAGCAAAAGACAAGGGAATAAGTTTTAATAATCAACACAGGATAATAGACCAGAAAAGTAAAGTTACCAAGCAAAAGATATATGGAAGTCAATTCAAAAAGTACCTTTATACCAAAGGTTGCACCTGCAGAAAATGGAAAATAGCTTTGCGAACTTCTTCAGATCAAATCACGTTCTCTATACCCTCTCCAAAATGCCCAAAGGGAATTCTGTGAATAGTTTCCCTAGATACTCTGCACAACAGCTGGTTAGGATTAAACATCTTGCCTGCAGCATCTTGAGATTTGAAGGTTTGGCATTTTTGACAGTGTGATGAGCAGTGCACAATTGTGCACTCTCCATGTGTTTAAGATAATGGAGAGAGCCAGATACAGTATTAAATACATGCACAGGAGTGATAAGTTAGAAGCAAGCTATGGCACAACTATTCCTCAAGCTAGAAAAAGTCAGATCTCTGGAATTTCTTTACAAGAASGTACTCTTATAAAATAGTCATTCTGAGACATAAACGTTGAGATTTATGTCTCTAATTTGCTTTTATTTTAACACATTTAGCATATGCATGTCATGAGTATACTTGCCAAAATACTGTTAATGCTAGTAAGCACTTTATGTTACAYAACCAAGGTTCCCAGAACTTTGCAATAACTGTCTTTGCACAGTCAGACCCTGACCTCACTGGGAGAAACATCACAGATGAAAGGCAAAATTTTGTTTAAAATAAAAAAAAAAAAGAAAAAAAAACCTTAAACAAAAGATACTGTAGGATGAGTTTTCCTAGTTAACTGCTATCAAGAATCCAAAGTCTATTAAGCCAATAGTCCACTAGGAACTATGAGCTTTAAGTCCCAAGTCCAGATGAAAACACCCCGTTTCAAATATTTTACTTTTCTTGTTTGTCCTTAATAGAGTGATGAAGTAGGCTCTTTCAGCGAGCAAGAAAGTGCTTGGGACTTGCTAATCTGCAGAGGGCTGTAACTGTTTTGCAAACTACACATTCCTCTGTTAAGGCATTAGAGTTTCAGTAAAAACACCCAAAAACCTTTGAATTTGGATAAATGAATAACCCTCAAGCTTCAATTAAAAGCTAACCAACTTAAAACAAACAAACAAACAATAACAAAAAAAACAACTGAAAGAAATGATCTCCCTGAATACAGTTGCCAAACTCTGTACTTCTAATATTAACACTTCCATCAAAACACCAACTTGGTATTTATTTCGCTCACATACAGCTAATTAAGGCATAAATCTTAAATATCTGACTCCTGTTCTGAGAACATTTACCATACTACAAGATTGTTTTTTGTACAAGTGTAGAAAACTGTAGCATGAAAGTTGAGTTTCCTATGTTTGTATTTATTCTTCTAGTACCTGTATCTATTTATTCTCCAATATCTGAAAAAGCTTCGGCATGAGCATTTCAAGAGACAGGAAAGTTAATACAGCAACTTTACCAATAATCAAGCCTAGTGATTCAGCCCAATGATATTGAAAAACATACCCTGCCAAAGTGAATTTACTGCTTGTACTTTTACATTACAAGAATTCCTGTATACAGTAAGAAAAGCTTTAATAAGAAAATATCCAAGTTGACTCTTATAGCCCTAAGAGAGTTAATTCACCATCTGTTTATGAAATGTTTGTGATAGAAAAGCTCTCTCCTCGAATCACCCTCAGGCACAGAATCCTAAGCATATTAATTTCTACCATCTTTTCTAGGACTGCTATTTAAATCTGGATTACTGGAGTTATAGTACAACCCCCCCTTTTTTTTTTTAAAGCCACTTGAAGCACTTGATTCCATTTATAGAAACACGACCATGACCTCAAACTTATTTAAACTCAAATGAAATGGGTAAAAACATTGTAAGCCATGATTAAGCATACAAAAGCAGAAACCTTTGACACTCCACTGAGTGGTTTATGGATGCACAAGAAAAGTGATGCTAAATTCACTGCCATGGCAGAACATGCAATTATGCAACTTTGGTGTCTTATTTCAAAAGCTGTATTTGTCTGCTGCAAATACAATTTTCGCTCCCTTAAAGGCTTAGAACCTTTCAGATGAAACTGAAAGTTTCATCTAACTCATCTTAATCATAAGTTATTCAGTTATTCAGCTGAATAATAGAGTCACAAATAAATTTCTAACTACTTGGAAGCTGCTCCCACCCTGCTCTTTGAAAAAACAACCTAAGCCTCTAGGTTATTTCTGAGCACTACTACAAACAGTACCAGTTATGTGAAGGATGTTATTGTTTATAAATCTCTTCTAGTTCTTCTCTTAACAATCTACTTAAAACAATACAATTCACTAATGAAATTATACTATATATGAGTCAGTAATTGATTACACCAAATAACCGTGGTTTCTAAAGGAAACTTTGGTTTTGCCTGAGATATGATTTTACTTCCTGTCTTCTTTAAAAAGAAAGAAGACAGCTCGAAGTTAAATGTAAACTTAACTGCTCATTAAACAAAACAGTTTCAGCTGGGAGGGGAAAGACAGGGGATGGAAAGACAGGATGCATTTTGTTTAGAGCCCTGCATAGAGAGCATTGTCTATTATAAGTGAAGATCTCAGAAAGGCTGCATTGAGCATCCCAGGCAGTGCTCCAACAATTACTTTGTTAACACGCAGTTTCAACAGAACCAAGTTTGAGTCTGGTACTAACAGTGCCTGGTATCATTCAGCAAAGGAAAATTTGCAGTCAAGACATTATCTTACAAAAATACTGCATGGAGAGACTTAAATTTATCCACAATTAGATTATATATAATAATGGAAGGGCTTGTTATTGGCAAAGCTGGTGTGGGTTACCTCTGGCAAGAGTAACGCCAGGAACTTGGCTATTCAGTGAACTAGATAGCCATGTTAAGCTACCTTGCCAAGCTAGCTACCTTGACTGAAGGAAAGCTAGATTCTTTTTTTCAATATGTACAATGTTCTTAATATTTCATGACTGAAATCTGGTTAAGCACAATTATCTGAGCTAATCATTCCAGTTTGAGCTTTTCAAGTACTTTTTTTTTTCCCCAACGTCAGATACTAAATAGAGGTACTCTAAGTACAGATGCTAGACATTATGGGGAAACAAGCACACTGAAAACRCACATATTTTTAGCCATTATATGGCTACTCTAGTCTTTGTACTGTTTCTAGTTTATTCAATGCAAGAATACGGATACTTGGCCAAACCTTATTGCACAAGAGAGAGCACCCTTCAGAAGGTATTGGCACTTGTTTTGATCTTGCCTTAGCTATGCTGCATCCAATGAGGGGACATAATATATATGTTGGCTGCAGCACAGATTAGCATAGCGTGATGTTTGAAGTTTTACCTCGAAAGCAGGGCAGCTATACCAAAGCCAGTGAGCTCTATACCAGACAAAGAATTTAAGGTCTCTTTCCCTCTGCAGTTTGAGGGATGTGGTACTATCAAAATAACTGCTCTTGATAGAAAAAAAATATATATTGGAAATAGAAGAACCTTGATTTTTCATTGTATGTGTGGCACGGCTAGTTTATAGAGAGCAATAAAGCTGACATGAGCCAAGAGAGTCTCTAGGAAGTTCAGGCCACCTCCTTTGTCACTATATGACAATGACACAAAAGTTGGTATTTCAGGTTCAGTGGTACCATTCCACTCCTTCTGCAATAACAATAATTACTTGCATAACTCAACAGTGCTACAAGCTCAGCTCTATTTAGACAAGTAAGTACAATAAGTAAGAAATAGACTTACTGCTCTGGTCCCTGAAGATCTACGTATTCCTCTAGTATTAGAGGCACTCCTTGTGCTGGTTGAAGTTGCCAGTGGAAGTGCTGTAGAAAGATGAGGAGGATTGAAAGACATCAAAGGTATCCTGATATCCCCTAAAATGCTTTGCTTGCAGTTGGAGTTTTTAGTAGTGAATCTCTCATTTTCACCATTCCCTGAGTCTCCATTAGCAATCTCAGTTTTATCCTCATTCTTGATGCTTCTCAAATAGTCCTTCAGCTCCAGCTGACTTGCAGGTTGACTCAGCCAACACAAAAAGAGTTCGTCTACCTTCATTTTCAGGACGGGTTGCAGAACTTTCCCAGCTGGCATTTTTAACTAGTCTACCTTTTTGTCTAATCAAACACCAAATAAAACTTTGAAAATCATCTACTGATTCCTCTTGCCTTTCAAGTTGTCACTGAAGATTCCTGTTAAGAAAAAAAAAAAAAGGTTAATCAGAGTTTTGAAGTGTTTAGTCCCACAAGGTGTGAACAGATGTGATGAAACACATGGTACCATGCGACAACACTGACATATGGCCATTTTGTAGGTAAGAGCTATTGACCAAAGTCAAATCCACAAGACAATTTCTTTTAAAAGTAAATCATGTGAAAAATGGAAATCAGAGAGAAAGAAATTGCTCTTAACTTCCTCAAAGAGAGCCACGTTAAACAAAAGTTCTCCAAGAACACATATATACACATATGAGAAATAGCTTTGAGAAGACTTCTAATTGAACCCATCAACAACTACATCTCTATAAACAAGAAGTCTACACAAAAAGCCTTGGTGAGAAGACAGTTATGACCAAATTAACAATGCTCTCAGTCAAGAGATTCAGAGCTAATACTGAAGGCTCACTTCACATTCTGAAGCTCGGGTTGTTATATCCAGTAAAAATCTCATAGTTCCTTCCTCAGGATTTGACTGTTTTCTTGGTACTGCAAAGTCAGCTGTTATTTTAATGACTGACCTATTTTTATATTTACTTTTACAGTTTTTAAAGCCAATTAAAACGCAACTTGAGTCAAGAATYGGCTTAGCACGATTTCAGGTTGAGCTGCTCATTTCTGAGAATTTTTTTTCTTCTTTTTTTTAAAAAAAAAAAAAAAAAAGTGACTAGACCTAAGCACTGAGGACAGAATCTAAGTTGTTATTATTGTCAGCTCTGCAGTCAAATTACTTAGTGATCTGGTCTGGTTTAAATAAAGCCTGGGCTTCCCCTGCCTTTTTAAAGCCTCTCAAAAGCCTCCACACTTATAAATATTTGTTCCTTAATTAGGAGGCAGCAAGAATGTGCCAAACATTTGGGCAAAGAAGCCTTAAGAAGATTGTGAAATAACGCTGCACTTAAAGGACAAATTAAGGTCAAAGTCAAGTCCTTGTGAAACAGCAGACCTGGAAGCCTCACGCACCCTCTGCCACGCACCCTCTGCCACGCAGGACTTTGCGTACCTCCATGCTTAGCTACTAACTTCAAGGTTAAGTTATGCAGTTCCAGAGGGTGTATCCCTCTCTCCGCACACGCGGCCAGCAGGACTCACAACACTGAAGTTTCACAGACTCACAGAAGGGTTGAGGTTGGGAGGGACCTCTAGACATCAGCTAGCCCAACCGCCTGCTCCAGCAGGGACACCTGGAGCACGGGGCCGCATCCAGGCGGATCCAAGCTCCAGTTACTTTCCCTCCCCTCTCCGGGTACGCGGCGGCAGCGGCGCTGATCGTTGCCGAAGCCTCAGCCCGCCCTAAAGGCGGCCGCGAGGGACGAGGCGCAGCCGCCACCTCATACTCGCGGCGGGCACCCCCGCCGCCCCGCACCCCCTGACGGGCGACCGTTGGCGACCGTTGGGCGGCGCCGCGGGAAACCCGGGGGGGGGGGGGGGGAGGGGGGGGGACACGCTCACCTGTCACGTGCACCACCACCAACAGCTCCTCCCGCCGCTACCTTCAAATCCGCGTCCGCTTCCGGCCCGCCCCGCGCCGCTCTCGCGAGAGCTCCCGTCTCCGCGAGACGCGTCGGGCAGTTACTACGGCAACGCGGGGCGGGGTTCAGCAGCGCCGCTTTCCGCGCGCGTCATGACGTCACCGCGGGAGTGCTTGGCCGGGGGGAGGGGGAGGGTTTTGCCTTCCCGGCAGCCCTTGCGGGGCGGAGCGCGGGCTCGTTGCTGCCGCTCGCGGCGGGCGGCCGCCATTACGTGACGTGTCGTGACGCGACGTGACGTGACATGACATGACATGCCGTGACGTGACATGCCCTGACGTGACGTGACGTGACATGATGTGCCGTGTCTGGGCGCTGGGCTTGTGCGGCCTGCCCGTGCTGTGGTGATGCTGCGGCGGCTGCCCTAGGAAACAGGGAGGGATGTTGAGCAGCGAAGGGCCTAAGCCTGGCCTAAGCCTTAGGGTTACAGCCAGGGTTAAAATAGGGCAGGTGGCCTTCGAAGAGGACACAGAGGGTAGGAAGGACCAAGGAGAAATAAGGAATTGGATGCCTGTGGGAGAGCTCACGGGTTTCAGCACGGCGGTTCAAAACATTCGGTGCATTTAACGCACTGCAGCCTTTGGGCAAAAGCATTGGCACCGCTACAGGGGCACGGAGATAGTTTGACCTGTTCCTGGGTGCACTGGGGTATTTTTGCACCAGCCTTAAAATGGGGTTAACCTCAACTTTCTACTTAAAACTGCTTCCAAAGTAGTTGAGGGGGTCCCCGCTTCGGAAGCAGAGTAGTGCTGAGTCACCCGTAGGTCTGCGGGGTTCAGAGAGCTGGTTTTTAGGAGACCGGAGTGGAAAATACTGCGTTAGTCTGAACAGGAATAAAGCCTTCAACGAAAAGCAGAGGATGCAGACGTAACAGTGAGAACAAATCTGCAAATATTGTAGGAGTATTTTTAAAGCAGGAGAAAAGAAGGTAAGACCTGTATGTTGTTATGGACAGCAACAAGACTTYTGTCTTAGAACTGAGGATCTGAATTAGGAAGAGTGATGGCAGAAGCCCCGACGTGTAACAAAGAGGACTTTTAAAACATTACAGATGCCTTTGAAGCATTCCTGAGTGGTGGTGTAGCCATCTGTTGATTGACATCCTGAAGACAGCTGGCAAGAGCAGCGATCAGAGAGCGAGTTGACGAGAGCTGTAGAGTTGGATATCGCCTGCAGAGAGATGATGCCCTTTGTTGAAACTGGCAGTGAGATCTCCCAAAAGAAAAAGAAAAAAAAAGACGTTAAAAAGTCCCTGAAAAATACAGTCACAGTCTTCTCCTGTGTATGCTAATGTAAGTTCAAAGCAGTTCTAATGCTGACTTCATTAGAATTTGTCATGATCAGCATTGGTATGAGAGGAATCAGTTCTTCATGTCTTCTGTTAATCTGAAGGGCCTTTAGGAGTGAACACAAGAGGAAGTTTAATTTCCATTATGAGGAGGAACTTCTTCCCGGTGAGGGTGACAGAGCCCTGGCACAGGCTGCCCAGGGAGGCTGTGGAGTCTCCTTCTCTGGAGGTCTCCAAACCCGCCTGGATGCCGCCCTGTGATCTGGGTGTCCCTGCTGGAGCAGGGGGTTGGACTAGATGATCTCTAGAGGTCCCTTCCAACCTCAGCCATTCTGTGATCATGATCATCAAGTAGCATAAACACTTGCCACTGGCAGGGATATTTGGGACAACAAAAAGTCACAGCATCTCTTCCTTTATAGAGATGCATAAGGCCAAACTTGTCAAAAAGGAGAGGACTAGTTAAATGACCATGTTTGTTCAGATCTTCTACAGATAAAATAAACAGTTTTTTTGACTGCTRTTTCCACATTTTTGCTGTCATGAGAAGAACACAAGCTTTTCCATGGTGGTTCCCATGCGTGGCAAACAAAAATCTATTTTAGTGTGTTAAGCTCCTGTAAAGCATGTGTATTTGTTTTCAGGATGGATTCCTTAAAACGTCCAATTGAATAATAATACATACAATGATATTGATTGTATGACAGTGGGACTATGTATCCAGTCAGCGTCTGAAAGTTAAAGTGCTGGAACCATACTGAAGTCTGCTGAAATAGATGCAGACTGCACCAAGTATGTCACCAACGTACTTGACCACTGCAGGAGGCTGGTGTATTGGTATTGCTTGTACCAGTTAAGAAGAAATCGTGGTGATTTGGCCTAGCTACACTGTACTGCGGGGTTAGTACACCTGAACTGGTATGTCCAGGTAGTTTAGTTCCTCCTTCCAAGTAGAGTATGTAGGTACTAGCTCGTTTCTGATCACAAATATCCTTCTTCTTTTTCTCCAGTCTTGAAGCACAAACTGAATTTTGCAGTGCGCCTAATAGACGTAGAGGACTTGAATATCAAACTCCTTYGTTACTCTCGTTGGTCGCTTTTCCAGTGACACAAGGGAGTTGCGTTCATTGGAAATATTCCTGTTGTCTGCCAGCGTTTCAGGCACGTTTCCTATGCACCACCTTGCATATACTGAGCATGGACATCTGCATGTCAGTTGTCCCTTTGTATTTGGTAGACATAAAGAGACATTTTCAGGGCCTTATTAATTTTCATTATTTAAACATCTAACCTAGGTCATATGAATCATGACGTGAAAGTGATGGGTTTTTTTTCTCCACTAATTAATAGGAATCTGAAGTATTAACTGAAGCGTACATGACCCCACTAGAGAAGTCTAAAAATGGGTGGGATAAATGTGTTTGCAGTAGTAAATTTACCTGATCTTATGTTAGGTGTGCTTGTATTCCATCTAGGAAGTAGAGTTGTCATCATGATACAGAGCACGTAGTGAGGTGAAGTACATCTGTCTATCAAATTGTAGTTCACTCTGCAGCATCTTTATGAGAGCTTCTTCTAGAGCTCTTCACATGCACGCTAGATGGGGAAGAGAACTGTAGTACTTCCTTAGGATGTTGCTTTAAAAAGAACATTGAATTTCGAACAGGCGTCTTATAGTACTTCTGCTGATGCAGTTCACATTTTTCAAATTTAGGCATCTGAAGTTGTGTTCTAACCCATATAGATGCACTGAAATAGCTCTGTCCTGATTTCCTAAGGTGTTGACTTAGTTGGGAGTGCTCTGACGAGTAGGCCATTTTTATTTAAATCATTGTAATTGAAAATTTTAGCCATAGATGCTCGTGGAGGTTGCACTCTCAAGGTGATGTCCCTCATAAAACTTGGTCATGTTATTCAGTCAGAATCTTCAGAAGAGTGTAAATGTTGCCTTCCACTGCTGAGTAAAAGCCAGTAAAATCTGACATTCTGGCATTCACACCCAAGTTGCTAGAGTTCTGGCACCTTTTTTTGTTGAGAATCGTGAGGATGTGAGGAGTTTTATGAAGCCTCCCTTAGACTGAAGGGAAAGGCTAAGAAAATGTTAATAACTGGGAATCCCTTAAGCTTCCCACCCATAGCAGCTAACCACGCCGCTTCATCCTTTCTTGCAGCTGCCGACCAAAAATAGAGCGAGGATGGGGAGCTGCAGATCATATGGCCTCCAGAAGTAGCATCGTATGCAGACAAAAAAATGTCAGCAATGCTGACTTGATGTGCGTGTTCTGCAGCCAGCTATGCCCTGAGAAGAGCATGATACTGAAATTCAGGGCTTAAATTTGGTGTTTCTTTTTCCTCTTTGAGGTGGAGTACTGCAGAAATACAGGGTTGGGTTAATTGCTTGCTGATCAGCCACTACTTAAGTGGAAGTTAAAGGTATAGTTGCAAATTGCTTTGTAACTTGTCAGTTTGAATCATGAGGCCTTACCAAGGCATTATTCAAACATTTAGATATTTGCAAACATGCTTTATTTCATCTCTATAACATTACATAGTCAGAATAAGGCCTTATCACAGTCATCTCCTTAAATGAGTAGCTGATTGCATGTGGGAATATTTACATTTCTGAGGGGAAAAAAGAAAGAGACAGTTAAGAATGTAAATACTGTAAGAGCAGGTGCACTATAAGCCAAGGAAGAAAATTGGTGCAGCAGTTGTTTGCTGTCATTGCATTAGAATAATTCCACTGTATATCACTGTGTGGGGCTAGCAGTGAGTATTCCTGGTAGGTTTTACTGAACCAGCGCTGTGTCCTCCCCCGGAGCCTTGGCTTGGGCAATGTTTATAGCAGCCTGGTTGTGAAGATGGGTTCCTCATGAAGTCTCCCTGATCTTCTAATCCCGGGTTCCCGTGTTTCTAATGCTCTGCTTTATGGGGCAGCTTCACCCGACCTTGTGTGCAGGTTACGTGGGCTTTATGGGAAGCTGCTGGGGCGGCCGTCCCCGGGTGGCGTTTAACAAGGTGTGCGCCTGGAGGTTTATGGGCTGTGAGAACGGGAGCCCGCTCGTGCTCCGCGTGTTGCTGAGCCCGCTTCTTTCCTGACCTCGGTGCAAGCCCTGGAGGTGAGAGGAGAGCCCGAGCTGTGTGTGCAGCAGCCAGCGGTGCCACCGACCACACACCCRGCCCAGAGAGAGAGCTGAGAGCTGGAAAACTCCCTGCCTTGGGACAAGGCAACTGGATTTCTGTCTTGGGACAAGGCCACAGGCGTTTCTCCGTGCCYGTCCCAACAGCCTTCCTCAGGTTGCTGAGGGCGCAGAGTAAAATAYGTAATGTGCCTCCTCGTTTTCTATRGAGTTTCTTTCTGTTTCTAAGGAATATGTATCATGTGATGGGCAACTGCATTTTTATCRCTTGACACCCAGAACTATTTCTGAAATAACGTTGTATTTCTGGGTTATGTTTCTTTGAACGCCTCTGCACGTAAGGAGATGGAATGGAAGCTGCAGTGAGGCATTGTGTGCTGCCTATCAGTGTTCTAATTCACCCATTGAACTAACATAAAGATAGCTCTTGTGGTTAATTGTTAATTACCACAAAATGAAAAGCACTCGGCTGATAAATCACTTTTATTTTTGTATTTCTGTCTGATAGGT